AGGATAACACATTTCTAAAATACTAAAATATTCTACCCAAATAATTTACGATAAATTCTAAAGGTACATGCACGTAAATAGTAAAATGCATACTTGAAAGTAAGTATTAGAATTACAACTAAATGGATAAATGAAGATGAATGGCAAACACGATATATAAATTAGTGTGAATATTAATTAATTTAGAATTAATACAAATGAATATATACGTGATAATGAATGTTAAATCATTTATACATGAATGTGAATAACGAATTTCATCGTTGAATGTGAAATTATAATTAATATTAATTAAATGAATGTAAATGTAAATGTAAATTAATTGAGAATCAATAATGGGAACATGGACGTGAATGTGAATGTAAAATTTTAATTAATATTAATTGAATGAATGTGAATGCTAATTAATTGAGAATTAATAACAGGAACATAGACGTGAATGTGAATGTGAAATTCTAATTAATACGAATTAAATGAACGTGAATGTTAATTAATTGAAAATTATTTATAATGAAACAAGAATTTTGTAATATTTATTACAATTTGTAAATTACATAGTTATTGAAAAATGAAAAGTCAAATATTATTAAAATAATTGAATTGTAGTAGGGCTATAATCGTCTACAAATGATTTTCACTTGATGTGATATTTAATATATTATAGATAGGAAGAAGAAGTGAGAGGTGGCGGTGGACCTGCGGTGGCAACCGACAGTGGGCTTGTGTGGGGTGAAGGAAGAAGAAGAAGGGTTTGGGGTATTTTTATTTTGTTTTAGGCTCGTTTAGTTGTTGTTTTTCCTTTTCTTTTTGTTCATTTGTGGAAGAATGAGGTTCACGCTCCGCGGAATTTACCACGGTCATCATCCGCGGTCCATAGGCAATCCAATCGTCTTCGTGTAAGGTGAATGTCCTACGATGGGGTCTTTTCTTTTGCTTCGAGAAAATGATCTTTGATGTTGAGATTGACAAGTTTCGGTACTCAATTCTAGATGATTTCTTTTGTTGGAATAAATCCGAACTTTCCCTATTAGATAGACCCGAAAGGTAGCACTATTTTAAGACCAACATGGGAAAATTACATAGATCAGGTGTTTAAGCTTCAAAGTGCAAAAATCAGGTGTGAAGATTTTTTAATCAAAATTCAGGTAATTAAATATTATACTACCCAAACCCTAATTTTATTTCATTTCTCACCCTCTCTCTCTCTCTTCATTTCTCTTCCTCTTGTCCATCTTCATTTCTCTCACTTCTATTCCCATCCAAACCCTAAAATTAATTCCCAAACCACCTATCCATTCTCTCCACCGTCTCTCTACTGTCAACCTATATACCCATCCAAACCCTAAAATTAATTCCCAAACCACCTCTCCATTCTCTCCATGTCACCGTCGTTGTCGTCGTTGCAGCAACCCGTTGTCTCTCTATTTTTGATGGTGTTGTTCCATGAAAACCATCGACTAGGTGAGGCATGATGGCCAGTTGGTGAACGCTACCACGTGCGGCTTAATCGTCGAGATGATCAGATCTGAGTCGTTGCTGCTAGTGCTGCCGTTCGCGGTAGTGGTGTCTGGTCTCGAGACGTAGTGTTGGCTGTTGTTCCAGGATGGATGTTGTGTTCGATGTTGGCTGATGGCTGTTGTGTTTGGTGTTGATGGAAGTGAAATTGTGGTTGTTGGTGTTGATGGAGGTGATGTTGTGATTGTAGTGGCCTGTGACCTGGTTGTAGTGGCGGTAAAATTTTAGGCCTTTTGGTAGTGATGTCGTGGTTGTCATGGCGGGGTCTGTGCCAACTATTTGGTTGATTTGTGACCAAGTATTGGTGGTGGATTGAGATCGAGGGATGGGAGTTTGGGTATATGTGACCAATTATTTGGTTTCCCTTCATTCTGTTGCCCTCATTTCTCTCTTCAAAATGTTTTAACTTATTTTTTGTCAGTGGTGGTGATTTTGTGATGGTGGTTAGCAGTGGTGTTGGATTTAGTGGTAGCGGCTTTGTTGGTGGTAGGGTTGTAGTGTGGTGGTGACGGATTTGACAAGGTATGTTGGATCTGATAGTGATGGAGGCGGTGGTTGGTTGGGCACGGTATTGTGTGCGGTCAAGGTGTTGAATCATGATCGGAGGTGGAAGTGGGGTGTTGGTTAATTTGTGACCAATCATTTTATTATCTGTGACCTAAAAATTATATAATCTATGATAGTAAAAGAATATGTGACCAACTAATTTGGAAATCTGTGAATGTGTAACATATAAATTTTGAAATTTGTGACCGACGAATTAATTGTGACCTAAATTTTTTTTTATCTGTGACCAACTAATTTGAAAATCTGTAATCGAAAATTAATTTTTAACTAATTAATTAGATATCTGTGACCAAATTGCATATAATTGTGACATTAACAGTTGTCGGAATCGGAGCAGTCGCCGGAATTAAGCGCGGTCGGGGAACAGTCGTCGGTCGCGGAATAGTCCTATTAAAATGTGCTTCAAATATGTATATATATATTTTTCCAAAAATTATGTTGTATTTCATTCTTTTTTATTTGTAACTCTCTTATTCTACTAATTTTTTTAATTTAAGTTATATATTTTAAATTTGGAATGGTCATTTCTAATCACATAGCCCTTATTTGGTGACCCCCCTTTTTTTTGGAAAATATTGTTTTAAATAGTGAATT